CATGTAATAAGTACATTCTGCTTCCACTGGGAGGAGGGAGTGACTGTTAAGGTGGTGCCAATCAGGTAACTGTTTTGCTCTACAAAGTGTTGAGCTTCCCAAAGCATGTTGGAGCTTTACTCTTCCAGGCAAATGGAGAGTATTCTTTCATGGTTATACCTTGCTGATGGTGGACAGGCTTTGAGAGTCGAGAGATGAGTCACTCACTGCAGAATTCTCAGCTTCATACTTACTCTTGTAGTCTCAGTATTGTAATGGCTGGTCCAAATCACTTTCTAGTCAATGGTAACACCCAGGATGTTGGCAGACAGATGTTCAGCAATGGTACTGCCATTGAATGTCAATGGAATGATGGTTAGATTCTCTGTCATTGGAGACAGTTATTGGCTGGCACTAGTGAGATGTGAATGCTATTCGCCACTTATTTCTCCTAGACTGAATCTTTTCCAGCTCTCACTGCATGTGGGCACAGACTGTTTCAGTACCTGAGGAGCCAAAAATGGTGCTGAACATTGTGCAAGCAACTCACTTCCGACCTTTTGGAGGGCCACAACACTCATTCCACTCACCTGCAAAATAATGTGAAGGGAGAAATGTCACTGAAACACTTTGTTCTGCCAACATCTTTTACTTCTATTTTTAACTGATAAGTCTAGTCATACGGGTTGGATGCACAGCGGACTGTACTGCTAAATGAAAGAATTCCAGACAGGCAGTTATGTTATATGCTAGCTCTTCAGCCGAGATTGTTCTTCTGAGCTTAATATCAATCCAATTGACCATTTTCTTGATGTGCATTTACAATTTTGCCCTTTTTTATGTATTGTTCATCTGACCTGATGATCTGTTAAATAACATGGATTAAATATTCAATGTGTCTGTTGCAGCGTACCCCACACAAAGTCTCTCGAAGCACGAATTAAGGAGGAACTAATTGCTCAGGGTCTTCTAGATTCTGAGGACCGACCTACTGAAGACTCTGAAGATGAAGTTCTGGCAGAGCTGCGCAAGCGGCAGGCTGAGTTGAAAGCCATCAGTACACACAATCGAGCAAAGAAACAGGAACTTCTCAGGTGGGGTTGAATGCACTGGTACTGAATTTGGAATGCAAGTGGGGTGAAATAATGAAATAAGATCTGCTTCATAGAACAGGCTGGTGGCAATTCCTTCATTCTAACGTGATGGGTTCTTTATTCAGCCACTAATCTTTCAGGTGAATGTGTTTAATTTTAAAAAAAAGTTTGGTTCTGTAAGAAAACTGAGTTCCTGTTTGCTGCTGCAGCCTTCAACAAAAAGTTGCATTTATATTGTTCCTTTAACATCAATAAATGCTACATATTGAAACACAAGGATAAAAATATGGAATCTGGGATAAAGAAGGAGATATGAGATGTTAATAAAAGATTGGTCAGAGAGATTTTAAGAAAGATTTTGAAAGAGGAAAAGGAGGTTGTGAGATGGAGAGGTTTAAGTTGAGAATTTGAATGCATAGGTCCTAATTGGTTAAAGGCACATATTGCCTGCACTTCTGCAAAGACAAAGGAAAGCTTTTAAGGACGCTGCCAACCTCAAGCCAATCCATAGCCATTAACCTCTATTTAAAATAAAAAGAAGCAATATCCTTTGCATATAAGGAAGAAAAGAAGTATGCTATGATGATAGAATTAAATTAGGATAAGTGAGAGGAGGCTTGGGTGGAGTGTAAGCACTGACATGGCCTATAGGATATCTGGGACAGAAAACCAGGCCATTATTTAACAGTCTTAAGATCCACTTCCATCATATGTGTCTTTAAGTATTCCATAAGAAAAGGAGAAAATGTTGTAAATATTCAGCAGTTCAAACTGCATGCACAGTTAGAGAAAGAAACCGAATTAACGCCTCAGGTGGATTTTTAGTTTAATCAGAACCTTTAGGTGTAAGCTTATTGACCTGAAACATGAACATAATTTCTTTCCCTCTTCATAAATGCTGCTTGAGTTGCTGAGTTTTCCCTGCAGTTTGTATTTTATTTTGCTCTCTTTGAATATTTCATTTTGGTTTGACTTTTGGCTGGTCTTTATTGAGTCAGGGACCAGTGGTGTCAGTGGAAGGAGTGGGGCGGTGTTCAAATAACCCCTTTCTCTGTCCTGTCCCACCCCAAAATGTCTGGGTTTTTCTTCAGTTGGACCATTTCTTATGAAAGAACATGCTTTACATCACTTCAACACATAAAATAGCAGATGTTCTGGAGCAAGTCAGTTCCTCCGTTGAACCAGAGAATGCAGATTAACTGGACTTGAGTTACTAAGTGCTTCCCAGGTTGTTATAAGGAATAGTCATTAAGTTATTACTGAACTAGCAACATGCTCATGCTTTGTGGTTGACAGCTTTTGCCTGATAATTTGTGTCTTCATTTACTTTATTTGCTTTATTTGAAACATCACCTCCTTTATCCATTTGAGCCATTTGTGAAATTCCTTCTCAGAGATCTCCAACTTGAAAATTAGACCTTCAGAAGTTGTTTGTTCAGTCCGATAAGCTTGTTTCAAAACTCTCTTCCCACCCCAAGAAAAACACTAAGTCTACGTTATGAGAGAAGCAGGGTGTGTATTGATCCATAGATCCTCAGCTTCCTTTCTAATCTTACTGACTGACTGACTCTTTTTTTAAATGCAGACTTGCCAAAGAGGAGTTAAAAAAACAGGAGTTACGGCAACGAGTGAGAATAGCGGACAATGAAGTAATGGATGCTTTCCGAAAGATCATGGCAGCTCGCCAGAAGAAACGCACGCCTACAAAGAAAGAAAAGGATCAAGCGTGGAAGGCACTGAAGGAGAGAGAGAGCATTCTAAAGCTGTTGGACAGTTAAGCCCAATTATGTAAACAAGCTGGACGTCGTTACTTTTGAAAAATTGGCTTAATGTTCATCTTTTCTTGAGTGGTGTGCTTCTGAACTGACAAAAGGAGCGATATTGAACCTTACCTGTTTTGAACTGTTGACATTGCATTCCAGCAGGCTGTCCCTGTCGTGGCCAACTAGTCTTGTTTGTAAAAAGTGGAAGTCTGTCTTTCAGAAATCTGGATGTTGTGCTTTGCTAGTTTGATGTTTGCTGTATGTGAAAGTAATGTGTTTTGGCCAAGTATTCAGATAGTGTAGCATTCCCTTGGCAGCTGTGCCATTGCCAGTCCTTCCAAATGTGATGTTAAAACTGACACTGTATAGCTTTCCAGAAAGATTTTCTTTTCACTTGCATCCCACACCCAACAATGTTTTATAGAAATATATGTGGGGATACCATCAGGACTGAAAGTCTGTTTTCCCCCTTTCTCCTGCAATGCTATTCTTCTCCTTAATTCCAATCCAGCCAACCCGACATACTGTTTGATTTTGTTTCAAATCTTTCTATACTTGCCTCTGGGCCATATGATACTATGTGAAGAAGTATTAAAATACTGCCAATTCCTTTTACAGAAATAAAATCCACTTAAGATTTATAAGCTGTGGGGTAGCAGGTACAATTTATGTCACTGACCATAAGGGATCGTGCCAGTTACAAAAGTTTCAGATGTTTTGCCGTTCACTATTGGGTAAACACTGTGCAATGGCTTGTAGCTTCAGAGATCAGGATGACTGCAGGTACATACTCCAGTGTTTGCTGGTTGTTCAGTTTAGCAGTGGTAACAGTGCTTATTTGAGTTGAATGCCACAGTTAGTAATGCAAGGGATTTTCTATGCAGTTGGTGTTACCTGACAAACTTAGATGTCTTCCATGATCATTAAATGCAATTTTTCCATTTGTTTTCATTTTTATTTTGTGTGGCATGACCATTCCACAGTTCCTTTGTTCATACTAAGGGGAACTGTCTGATGTACTCCTGTGCTCTGTCATATCCATTGGCCTTTGGGAGATTAACTGGAAAGTGGATAGTAGGGGTTAGGTTCAAGTTCAATAATGATAGCCCTTCTCCCTCCCATTTTGTGGATGAAGATGGGATCAGCTGCAATGTCTCTACTCCTTTTGCTAAATAGTGATAAAGGTAGAAAGGACTTTTGTAGCACAGCAGCAGTGTTACTACTTCTTGAGACAGGAGGCCTGGCTTCAATCTTACTTGCTCTGGAGGTGTGTCATAACCATAACTGAGCTGGTTGATTTTTTTTAAAAAAATCTACGAAAATCCTTAATCTGGACTCTGGAATGAAACATTTCCATGTGGAGAAGGTAACAGTTGGACTGCAAATATACATTGAATCATACCACAACATGAATCATTATATATATATAAAAGAAATAAAGAAGTCATGGAGGTTAAAATTAACATGAAAAATTAAACAATACTGATGGAAATGAATTTTTCCAAAAATGCAATCATATTATTGCATTGTCACCTACAGTTTTAAATATAAAGTGAAAAGAACCAGAAGAATTATACTCCTAGACTCACCAAGGGTTTTTTTTTTGCACTGTTTTAAGTTATCTTTTTGCAGCCTTGCTACGATCGAACATCGTTTTGATAATCCCAGTTGCATATTGTAACACAAGATCTCTGATCTCCTCTCCCATTCATCAGTCAGACACACTCTCCAAACCAACCCTTAAAGAGTTAGAAATCAGAATGAGAACCATCCAATGCTGAATCCCCAGCTCAATGCATGTCCCCCACATCAGATGTCCTCATGTTAATTTATGGATTAAAGATGAAACAAGTGTAAGTTTTATCATTTGTGGCATTTAATCCTCTTGGTCTACTGATGATTAACTGGTCCTGTAATGAATTTTCAATAAATGTCAACTTGATTACTTTCTCAGTGTGAAATATGCATTAAATAGGCAATCAAATACAATTTTTATTTATTTACAGAATGTGGGCTAGGCCAGCATGTATTGCCCATCCCTAGTTGCCCAGAGAGGCAGCTAAGAGTCAACCACTGTGGGTCTGGAGTCACACGTAGGGGCTGGACTTGGTAAGGGTATTAGTGAACCAAATAGGGTTTTATGACAATGGTTTCATGGTCATCATTAGACTCGTAATTCCAGATTTTTATTGAATTCAAATTCCACCATCTACCATTGTTGAATTCAAACTGAGGCACCCTTATCATTATTTGGATCTCTGGATTAATAAGTCTAGCCCCAGTATTATTGGAGCTTTTTACAAAGGAAAGGTGAATGAGTTTAAAACTGCTCTGCTACACTGATCAGTTAAATTTGGCTTAAAATAACTGAAGCCATTTCTAGGTCTTGAATTTAGGATGTCATACACTTGCATCAGAAATCACCTTCACTGCAGGAAGACTTTCAAATTAGCCACATCACTTAGAATGGAAAAAGGTTAAATTCTATTTTAGGAGTTTCGAACTCCCAAGTCTCCCAATGTAAATATCCATGTCCCTAGGCATCCACCAAATCTTCTACACGGTGCATAATCCAGGCACTTCAATCAGAATTATAATGACACCCACTGCTAATCTGACGCTCTCCCACCCTCTGTCATGCCTTGAAATGTATTATAATATGTAATATATTTGAAGTAACTGCACAGAGGCCAGAATCCCATCACCAAGTCACCCTTTATTTACTTGCACACTGTACATTGGCTGTGCCCAACCAGCTTGGAGTCAGTCCCTTGACCTGAGGAGATTCTAAATGCTCCGTTTATAGGCTATTGTGCAATTATACTTCGTCATGGAATCCCTACAGTGTAGAAGCAAGCCATTCAGCCCATCAAGTCAACACCAAATAGTGAAAGCTTTGTTCCTGGGTAGCCTCAAACCAGCCACCTTTATGTTTAACATGCTGACTAATTGTGCCAGAGACTGGTGCCCCTGTTTATATTGGTCAACCAGGGCTTCCTGATTGGCCTGGGTTAATCCCAATCAAGTATCTCATTGTCGATAAGATCCAACTGGTTCCAATTACTACAGTATTGATTTAATTGAGGTGTTCTTGCAGCAAGCAAGCACTAGCATTACAGATGAATGGTCTCCTTGCGTGCTGTAGCCATTCTATGATAATATTTCTTTACTGAATATTTAAGTTTTCATTATTCCTTCATTCCCTTTTTGCAAAATTCTCTGATGTCACAGAATGGGGCAGCAGGGGAAAAAAATTGTCTTGTCGACACTTTATATGCTCCAATAATTCTCGAGGCTGTTGTCAATAAAATGTAGGTGGGGAATGACAGCAATATAATGAAATGTGGGTAGCATTAAATAAAGAAAACTAACTAGTGAGAAAAAGTTGAAAATGTCCGTATGGATCATTCCATTTCTCCACAGAGTGTTCCGTAGTGGCTCGTTGGTCTAGGGGTATGATTCTCGCTTTGGGTGCGAGAGGTCCCGGGTTCAAATCCCGGACGAGCCCAAGTGCTTTTATTTTATCACGTAGGATATCTACAAAAGTGTAGGTAACTGCGTCCGGTCCAGAAATTTACGCAGCAGAATATTCCATCACAAACTGGACAGAAAATGAAAGTTATAACTATAACCTTATGTGAAATTCACTTCACGTAAAGGAGTACTTGCACCACACACTAATGAGTGGCTCGTTGGTCTAGGGGTATGATTCTCGCTTTGGGTGCGAGAGGTCCCGGGTTCAAATCCCGGACGAGCCCAATTTTCCTTTTTCAAACATAATCAACTTTCAAATTTTTTTTTCCGGTTATCAGTGCCGATGCTGGTAGTAAAGCGAAGATTCTATGCATTATTTTGCAATATTGACTCAATTTACGCAATAGCACAGCGCAAAAATTAATTCCTTCCCCAATTAATTACAAAAAGGATGAAGGAATGAAAAAAAAAATTGGGCTCGTCCGGGATTTGAACCCGGGACCTCTCGCACCCAAAGCGAGAATCATACCCCTAGACCAACGAGCCACGACAGTAATAAACCCACAACGCGATAATATAAGGTCAATTCTGAAATAGTAACCAATAATTCGTTTTTCATTTTTAGATCTCGGCCAGTCCGCGCAAAAATTCTCCCCTGAAACGATCACATTGCCACTGAATATCTGGAGATCTCGTCTAACATTCATTTCAGACATGATTTTGCTGTTCCCCGGTTTATCAGGACCACAAACGTCTTTTTAAGAAAAGAAACAAGGGCTACGGTTCAGTAAAGTTAAGCGCGTAATTACAACAAAAAATGGTAAAGGGCAGAGGAGTGAGTCCTTGCCCGAAGAGGAGCCTGGTTGCTGGAGCCCCAGTAAGTGAGACTCCGAAAGAATGTGAAACTGCTTCAGCCTCACCTGGTAATGCGCCGCATATTCCAACAGGGGGCGACGCGGCTGCAAATTGCAACATTTCATTCAAACCAAGAAGGTCTGGCATGAGATAGTAGGAACTGCTGATGCTGGAGAATCTGAGATAACAAGGTGTAGAGCTGACATGAAACAGGTCTTACACACTGACTGGCTGCAATTAGCCTAGCACCATCTTAAACTACAACAAGACTTCCTATCATGGGTTTAAACCCCCTTGAAATCCCTACAAAAAATATACAATTTACCCCGATTCACCCACCTGCCTGTCTGTTTCATTTAGTGGGAACGAATGATGGCAGATGCTGTCTTCAGTGTCTGTTTCATGTAATCAGACTCACTTTCGAAAGACCAGGGGTGTCCCAGCTCCTTCAGAACAAATACAAGTTGCTGTGAAGCGATGGGAGCTCTGCATCAGAGAAGTGGTAGCAGGTAAACCAGAGGAGAGTCTCCGGTCTTCCCACTGAGCAGCTCCATCACAAACACAGCACTCTGGACAGTTTTAACCAACCTGTTCAGAGATGTTATCACGCAATTCTGGGGCTAGTGGGACTTGAACCCAGATTGTCTAGCTAATGGAAACTCTTGGAGAAATTAAGCCTCCCTTCCTTGAGCAACTGGGTCAGCAAGGTCGATAAAAATATTGAATCTAAGGTTTTGGAGTAGATCTGTAGCTCGGGTTGTGGGTATTGAGGTTGGTTGGCTCGCCATTATTGAAATTAAAAAATATTGAATGTTCACGCAGGTTCTTTGGCTTAGACGTGGTCACCCAACAGGTTAAGGAAGCTGTCAGGGAAGGAATGGTTGACAAGAACAGAAGTTGCTGGAAAAACTCAGCAGGTCAGGCAGCATCTGTGAAGAGAAAATCAAGAGTTAACATTTCTGAGAACAGTTCTGAGGAAGGGTCACCGGAACCGAAACATTAACTCTGATTTTCTTCTTCACAGATGCTGCCACACCTCCTGAGTTTTTCCAGCAACTTCTGTTTTTGTTCCTGATTTACAGCATCCGCAGTTCTTTTGGTGTTTATCAAGGCCTAGATGACCATCAGTCAGAAGAAGGGAGTCAAGCAGGAAATCATGAAAACTCCAGATTGCATCTCACTCAAGAACTTTTTTTTGAGTTGGTAAACATAATAGTGGTGGTTCCTTTGGGATCTGCAGCCACAGCTCAATTGCACAAAGTGGGAGCAGACTGAAGGGATGAGCTATAGAGGGAGGAGACACAGTAGTGAGGGGTATAAACGTGCTTTTTTTGTGGATGCAAACATGACTCACTGAGGCCAGGTCACGGATGTCGCTGAAAGGCTGCAAGAGTTTGGAAGGAAAAGGATGGACAGTCAGAGGTCATGGTTCACATTAGTCCTCATAAAATACCTAGAAAAAGGGACGAGGGTCTGCAACACAAATTTAGGGAACTAGGTAGTAGATTGAACACCAGGACTTAAAAGGTTGCAATCTCTGAATTACTTCTAGTGCCAGGTGCTCGTGAGTGTAGGAATAGGACGCCTGAATTTGTGGCTGAAGAGTTAGTGCAGGAGGGAGGACTTTAGATTCCTAGATCATTGGGTCAGCTTTTGGGGAAGGTGGGACCTGCACAAGTCCAATAGGCTGTACCTGACCCACAATGGGACAAGCAACCTACCAGAGTTTAGCAATGATGTTGGTGAGGTTTTAAACTAATTTAGCAGGGGTATGGGACAGAAAGTGGAGGTACAATGGTCCGTGATGGACAGACAAATGTAGAAAAAAGCCAAGTTGGTCTGGCAGAGAATTTTGGTGATAGTCAAGTTAACACAGAAGGAGATCAGCAAAGCTGAATGGCATTTACTGTAATGCAAGGGGTCTTGTGAGTAAATCAGATGAGTTGAGGATGCTGATTAAAGCATAAGGATATGATATCACTGCTGTCATAGAGACATGGTTGAGGGAACGGCAGGATTAGCAGCTCAATATATTTTGGGGTATAAAATCAGGTCAGGCAGGGTAAAAGAGAAAATAAAAACTGAAAGAACTGCTGTAAATCAGGAACAAAAACAGAAGCTGCTGGAAAAGCTCAGCAGGTCAGGCAGCATCTGTGAAGAAAAATCAGAGTTAACATTTCGGGTCCAGTATCCTTCCTCAGGGTTGCTGAGCTTTTTCAGCAACTTGTGTTTTTATTGTTGTTGAGGGTAAAAGAGGAGCTGGTTTTGCAATTTGATCGAGGAGCCAATTATTACAGGCCATCAATTACTTAAAGAGGTCAGATATATTAGAAGGCTCCTTAATTTAGGCCATATGGATAGAGCTTATGAACCTAAAGAGGGCAATCACATTTTTGGGAGTGTGCTATGGACTGTCAAAAAGTTCATTAAACTTTAAAATGTAGGAGCAGAATTAAGCCATTTGGCATGGCAAGTCTGCTCCGCCATTTGATCATGATTCATATGTTTCTCGACCCCATTCTCCTGCCTTCTCCTCGTAACCCTTGATCCCCTTACTAATCAAGAATCATCTCCGTCTTAAATACATGCAATGACTTGGCTCCATAGCCTTCTACAGCA